ATTAGATAAGACGGTGTAGCTTGAATGCAATTTGTTAATTTTGTAATGCTACTACATTGCCATAAAAGTTAATAAGCAACATAACAGATCTTTGAGATGAAGTTTGTAAGTAAAGAAAATTTCATTCATCATTTATATGGTATTGGTTAAGAGAGTATAGAAGAATGGATATATTATAATCAAAGGAGTTCAAATATAAGTAAAACTTTGAACGATTTCTTAAAGGGAAAATAAATTATTTTTTAGAATAAAAAAGAATCTATATTAAACAATGGTGTACTAACTTTATACTCACAAAATTATTTCCATTAAATCATGTTTTTCACTCTCTCCTACATCAACCATATTACTAATCAATAAGATTTTGTCATTTGACTTAAAACAAAGATTAGACACATTAGTCATTTATTGAATTTTTTAATGAACACTTTATTAAAGTTAACATATGGATATGATGTCACATAAAAACTTGACCAATAAAATATAACTAAATGAAACTATGAAGAAGACAAGAAAGTTAACCAAAGCTAGCATTAATCCCAACTTTTAGCAATCAAATTCAGATATTGTAATGATGAAACATTGCTTTACATTTTTTTCACTTTGCACAATTGTAAAATTGATTTAATAGAATGACAAATAAGGAATGAGCTAGAGGAATACACCTTATAACGTGCCATTTTAGTATACTTTTGAGGAAATAAGATGAATATTTGCTGGTTTTAGATCAGTGTGAATCAAGTGCAGAAGATGTATAACTGCAAATAAAAGTAAAATAAACTGGGCAAAATCTATAAATTATAAGGTAAACAATTAAAATAGAGGTAAATGCCAATTGATACCTGAATGAGATATCAATTCTGATGAATGTAGGAACTGAATGATAACAATATAGATAGTGGTGCAAAGATATGTCTGCATACTTGTTTGCTAAACTCATGAACAAAATTAATGAGAAATGAACGATAGTTGTTTTTTAGTGAAAATTTGTATTAAGCTTGGATAAAACTTCTCAGAAATTTGTTAAGACTATGTGAATACATCCACAAGGTTTTAACTTGTACTATATTCGAGCAAGAAGTAATAACATAACACTTTCAAATTTGGGGAATTGAAAATTATAATAAACACTTAGAATAGAAATATGATTACGATAGTTGTTGACAATTTGTATTTGTACACGATTGCAAAGAAGAAATAGTAATTAGGCTAAGCTAAAACAGTTGTTTCAGTAGAAATATTGAAGAGATAAAAACACTTCTGCACCCCAACAATTGTTAGTATTTCAAGAATTTATACAAAAATGGCTTATCAATTTAACCAGATAATCAGCACACCAAGTACAAGGACAAAATTAACAAGACAGAGAAATGTCTAAATGGCTTAAACAAATTCTGATGGTAATGCAATTGAAACATAAACATACTTACAAATATTTCATTAGTGCAAGCTCGTTACACATTTGATAAGAGTAATGGATAAAACTGGACTGCATAATCACAAGATTTAGCTTCTTCTTTTCCATTAATATTAATTAATAGCATCCAATCGTCTATACCAAACATATAATAGAAGATAGATCAGTAAAAGACCTTCAAGAGGGCAGCCTCTTTATCCTTGTCTGTGAAAACTCCAGTGGACTCAACCACAAACTCGGCACCAGTTTCGGCCCACGGAATTTCCTCAGGGTTCCTAAATTTACCAATCATTAGAAAACGAATTCTAATAATTTTTCTTAGTTTTCAAGAATTTACATAGAAAAAATTAAAATCGAACATAAACCCAAAAACTATAACTGGACTATCACAAAAAAGAAGCATCTTTTTATCCTTGACCTTCACCTCACTGTGCTTCCAGTGCCCGTGCACACTGTCATACTTGAACATACATGTCTGCACAATGTTTTTGTCAGATTAAAATAAAAAAATAGAGAAAATTCATGTACATTGAGGTAGGCAGAAATAATACGATATAGTCAGTGGTGATGAATGGATCATTAACAGTAACAAGTTCTACATCATCCCTCTGTAGAGCAACTCTTGCAACCAAACGACCGATCCTTCTAACTCTTGAAAAATTTCATTTTTTTCATAAAAAAAAAAAAAGAAAAAAAAAAGATCAACTTTAACAACTATATTTAACATAATAGATATATAAAGTATCAATAATTACTTTTTGTAATAAACTCTATATTTGGGAAGCAAACCATAATTAATTATTTTTACCCCTTCAGCAATCATAGTTTTATTCTAGTAAAATATTTGATTGGTGGGTGGGTGTAAATTGTGTTTGGAATATTCGAGGAACAATTCAGAGGATTCTAAGTTGATAGATCGAATTATGGAAAATGCTAACTTTTAGGTTAATCTTTTACAGATTGATTGAGATACCAACTCTTTTCATTGTCCGAACATTTAGGAATTTGTCCAAAAGTCCTTGCAATTAATCAATGGATGGGACAGATACAATTAAATATGAACAGGTTATTAAAAATGAACGAACTAACAATTATAGGGAGCTAAGGAAACAATCAAATAGTAGTGAAACAACCAATCTTCACCCATTTTGCTAGGCATTATATCTCTCAATTAAGGGGAAAAAAGATTAAATATAGCCAAAGGAGGGGGGACACAAAAACACATTGGTCATAAGAAACATCAAATATGTGAGAGTTGAATCTACAAACGTAGTAGGATAGTGTGAAAATAAATTTATATGAATTCCAAGATAAATGTTGAACCCAATTATCTTCATTATTGCTCCACAAAAACATATATATTTGTTTAACATATACTATATTTTTTTTTATTAAATGTTTCTTAAAGTAAATTAGAGATGTACTTATTATAGTAAATTAGATATATTTGCTTCAAGTCATTTCTTTCTTGTACAATAAGACTTAAAATTTATCATATTAAAGTTAGTTTGCTAAAGTGGAAAATGAAGAGGTAACAGCATAGTTAATTTTAAATGAAATTAACCTAATCTAATGCAGATTCAAAATTTAATCTAAAAGTTAGTGTTATAATATAAGGATTTCTGTTCTACAAAAGTGAATGTAAGAAACAATGGCATAGTCCCCTAATATCTTCGACAAAGTGCACAAACTATACAAGAAAGGTGTTCAATAAGCATGCTGAGAAGAAGCTCCAACAAAAGTAATAATAAGAATTATCATTTAAGCCATTTCCCAATGTATTCCCTTAAGTATTTAAAGTACATTTACAATGAGGGATTAAATTCTTGCTAACGGCAAAAGCATAGTGACCATTTATATCATCCGAACTTCATCATGGAGAATTATTGTGGGGAACCCCCTTGTAATATCGAAGAATATGTATGATTGGTGATTGGCTTAAACTCATTTCTAGAATTTTATAGTTGGAAGGATGTGCATAAGAAACAATATTTAGTTTTGCATATGACAACACAATATAGAATTCAAGTATGATCAATGAAAGAATGAAATGATTTTTTTTTTTTTAATCTTACTATGTTCACGATGCCTTCAATTTCTCAACATATATATCAATTATGTTACATGAATGAGTGTTCTTGCATTACATGATTGAGTATTCTTACATTACTTGCCAGTTTTGAAGTTCCATAAACATATGTAATCATTTAACTTAAATACCCAAAAACTGCAATAGAAACTTACTGCTTATAAAGTAAAAATATACCATTAAAAGTTGATAAAATATTTGAATTTACGTATATTTGCATCTAAGAATTAAAAAGTTAATTCGAGAAAAAATTTACCTATGAAAATGTCATGATGAGAGAATAGAACTGGTAGCATCAACCCAGAAAGTCTTTCAAATCATCTGCAAAAGAAAAAATTTAAAAATACTTTTAAGGAGTAAGAGAAGGGAATAGTGTTTTTTTTTTTTTTTTTTAAAAAAAGAAGAAGAAGAAACAACAATAATGAAAACAATGAGTACAATAAGAATAATAAATGGAAGGAAAATGAATAAAAGAGTATAAAGTTTTTATATTAAATATTTTTCGAAGATCAGCGTAGATAACTTTTCACGATACAATAATGTATTTTGATTATATTAAATTGCATCTTGTACAAAGTGGATTATGTTAAGTTGTAAGGAAAAATAAAATATGAAGAGTTGTAAACTTACATGTGTATAAATGAAAGAATTTCCTTATATACAATATTTGAGGAACATCTATCATATAAATGGTGACTATTTATTGGCTTAAGTAAAACTTTGATAGATTTGCTTGTTTTTGCCCTTGATAATGTTACATATAGTTGACCATGACAAAAAAACTGGTTGTAGAAGATATAAACTGACAAAATCTAGTGTTTGACCCAGTGCTTTGTTTATTGTCATTGCAAAACATGGTCTAATTGGGAATTGAGTTCTTTTAAATTGAATTGACATTTGATCACTTCTTAGAGGTATAAAAGGGATCCTTGGCAAGAAAACATATTTTCTACAACATTCACCAATTGTAATTTCAGCAAGAATTACGTTCTTCTCAAATTTTCGACAAGTAAGACGTGTTCCGTTGCATAACTCTTCTAAGGATTAATATTCATTTTATCTTAAGCATTAATTCATGAGGAGGAATACCATTTGGGGTTAGACTATTTAAAAAATCTTCTTACAAGCTTTGTTCTGACTTATCAATCGCTTCATCAAAACTATAGCGTGTAAATTTCAACTGAAATTTGTTCAAGCACAATTCTATTAATTTGATCAACACATTCATTTGTAGGTGTAAGAATAACTCTATTTGCCATTACATGGAGATTATCAGAATATGCTTCTATATCTAGAAAACATGATGTATCAGTTTTGTTAAGGATGTTATTTCATCTTCAAATGGTAAAACTATACTTTCTGGAAGATTGATGCATTTACAAATATGTTCGCTCTCAAGTCCATCTCCTATTCTTATCTTAGCAAGTAACTACAGAATGTAGGATCCAGTTTAGCCCTCGTGTTTTCAATCAATGGTAGATGCTTATATAAAGGTCACAAGTCTGAAAAAATTAAGCTAGCTTTCATTATATCATGCTTTTTCCCTTTCCGTACAACTGGGAGAATTTGACAAAAATCTCCTCCTAGAACTACAACTTTCCCACCGAAGAGTAAATTGCAGTCGGTAATATCTCTTAGTATTTTATCTACAGCTTCTACAGCAGAACGATTGACCATCGGTGCTTCATCCCAAATAATTAACCTAGACATTTTCAACAAAGTTCCTAATGCCGATTGTTTGCTAACAGAACAACATATTTCACCGACTGTTTCCAAAGGTATCTTAAATCTTGAATGAGCAGTTGGACCTCCAGGTAAAAGAGATACAGATACTCCAGATGATGCTGTTGCCAAAGCAATTAAATTTTGTGACCATACACCTGCCAAAAGTGCTCTATATAAAAAGGTTTGTCAGTTCTACCTAGACCATCGATGAAGAAGACCCATACGAATTGATTTCACTTTTTCCATGATAGTATCATATGCAAATCATTGCTCTTTATTTAATGTTGCCTCACAAGTAAGTCCTTGAGTATCAAAATTTGTTGTCTCCTCTTGAACCATACTTCTCGACCTTTCAATTTCATCTATATTTACATTGAATGACACCATTGCATAATCATTTATGGTTTTACCCAATGATTCCAAAATATAACTAATGTCTTTTAAAACTTGCATTTCAACAATGTTTGTAGGTATATTTTGATGTACGTAGTCATCGATCATATAGACCTTAAACTTATCCCACAATAGCTTTGAATGATTAGGGTTGCAAACGTAAGAAGTGTAGCAAAGAGACATCTTAACGCAGTTGGCATTTCATACAAAAGAGCTTTAGATATATATTCTTCACAATGATTGTCTCCACTTCGTAAACCATGTAGAAGTGCTGCATCTCGATATGTTGGAGCTATTATGCCAATTAGATTTCGTAAATGATGAAAGGATATTGGTCCTCTAATATGATTAAGAAGAATACGAAGAAAATGCTATTCTCCTTTAGAAGGATTAGCTGTAACAATTCATCCTATAACAACATGTTTCTTCCTAAGAGTCCAAACTTTGCTATTTCCATTCCAAACAAAATGTTTTGAAAAATCTTGATACAACAATGTACGAGCAAATCCATTGATTTCATTTATTCGAAAAAATTCAGTTAGCATAGTTTTCCTCGTACTTTCTTTCTGAATAATAGTAAACAAATCATCCTCATCGGCATATGTTACTTGTTGATGATCCTCAATATGAAGTTGTAAAGAATAAACAGATGGATAAATATCAGATAAATCGAAAGAAAAAATCCTCCACATGCTTCAGGGGGAGATATCCATCTAATATACTGATAAGCTAAAATTTCATCAATTTCTTTGTTTGTTTCGGTAGTGTCAATAGAGAAATTAATATGATCATGACCTTTATAAACATATTTATAGAGATATTTAACAACTTTAATAGAAAAGCATATTTCAACATTAATATGACAATCAAATTTAGCACTTAAACAAGGATTGTATGGTACAACCCAACGATTGTCTAACATTTGACCTCTAACTTTAATACGAATGCCATTATTACAAGTTACAGTTAAGAATATGTCCGGTTTTCCATAACGTTGTACGATAGTCATCGTATCCATATATCTCTTTAACAAATCTCTAGTGCCACCTATAAAAGATTGTGATAGAACAAACTTTCTTTCAATTTTGTACCCCCTTGTCTCTTCATTTTTAACACTATCTACAATGCCTTGATAAAGTTCAGCACAGATTTTTTTTTTGTTATTACGAAAATAATCTAATCTAGTGGTTTCAATCTTCACATACATGTCTACAACATGTTATTGGAATAATCTACCAGTATGAAGTAATAGGAACGGACCGGGACACCTGATTTGAAATTTGTATGAATAGTATTCTCGACAAGAGACTTGAGATCGTTTCCCTGTTTTATTAAGCACTACATCACATAACAATAAAATAATAAATTATTATTTGAAGCATTCAAATTGCAAAAAATATTAAATTTACTTAAATGTGTATCTGCTAACCTGCATCCTCTTTTTCAAGAAGTTCAGTTGCAGAATTCATTGTGTTAGGAAGAGCTACAAAGTCAGGCAATTGTTGAGATGAAAATAATGGGCTTTTATATCTTTCAATACCTTCATGCCAACCAGATTTTCCATATGGAAAGTTCAGAGGATATTGCAAAGGATCATAACAACCATAATAATAGTGAACTTTGTGTGATTCAGCGCAATGACCATATATAGTAATATCACGAACACGAATATTTGCATTTTCATCATCTTCAATTCATACAGCAGCTACTTGAGATGTTGTAGGAGTATTGAAAACTCTTTGATCAACTCTTGGATCGCATCTTATTTGTATTCGATGATATTGCAAGTTAGTGATATTACTTAAAGACCTAAAAAATTTACTATAAGGATTTACTTGTAGAATTTGCATTAATATAGTCAAAGTAGATTCAGAAAAGTCGATTTTGTTTCATTTTAAAATCTAAATGCATGAAAACTTCAAACACTTCAGCATTCTATAGCCCAGAAATAATCAATTAGCAACAATTTAACAACTTATCGAACACTTAACAATATTATAATTAGTCAACAATCCAACATGAAAATGAAGAATCCTAAATCAACTTATACTCCAACATAAAATGCAATTCAAGTTGTTAAAGGTCAAGAGAAGTATGTACTTGGGTAGTTTGTTGCGATGTTAAAGTGAGTGGAAAATTAACGTCTCAATAAATTGAAACTTCTTGCGGTAGTTTCAAGAATAAACCAAATATATAAATGGAACAATTTAAAAGAAGTATTTAAAAAAGTAATTTTGAAAAATGTAAAATTAAATAACGACCGTAACTGCATGGGTGCGTGCAACTAATAAAATTGACTTGTGAGTCCAAGTATCGAAACCTCGAGGAGTATTTTTTTCTAATTACACAATTATTGACTCAATTTTAATTAAATGTGAAAAGGAAATGAAAATGGATTTGAAGATCTATTAAAGAAAGAATTATGAAAGAGAAGGAAATTTGAATTATAAATGAGTTGGAATTTACGGTGTCACTTAACTATTGTTTCTTTAATATCTCAATAAATCGGAAATGCAAACTACCAAGTTAGAGTGTTAGACCCCCTTTTCCAAGTTTATTTAATTACCTTTCTCGAGCGAGTTTAACCTCAATCAATTGGTTTTACCCACTATATCTTTATGTTGATAAAAATCCAACCAATCACATTAAATTTGTAATGTATTATCTCAATTGGCCTTCTAGGGTTTGAAGTATATATCTATCTATATATCTAACTCCTAAAACTACCTACACCATTAATTATTTTGATCAAGAATACACAACAATCTCTCAATAATTGCACAAATCACCTAACCCAATCAACTATTGGCCACATACATGATGAAAATTTAAGCACAAAAATAAATGTGCAGTAACAATAGTAATTAAAGTATTAAATGATGAATATTGACATTAATGAAACTTGGGTCAAGTTACACCATAACTCCCATCATTAAACACTTAGCCCACTGCAAAATAGAATAAAAAGGAAACAAAGAAAGAATACATTGCAAAATGAAGAAGATAATATAAAAATACAAGATTGTGGATGAAAAACGTTCCATGAATATATTCTTGAAGATATGAGGGATTGAAATCTGAATATACATTTCAAACTCCCAAATTTTGATCGATATTCTCTCTTTCTTCTTGCTTCTTCTCTCCTTGAATATTTTTTTAAGTGTTCTTCTATGACTATGAGTATTGCCCTAAAAGTGACAAATAATGGTATTTAAATGGCCAAAAATTGCCCTAGGTGAAATTGTAGAGGAAGTCCTGAAATTTACGAGAAACAAGCAAAATCGACTAGCCGGAAAGTGGCATGCGACACCGTGTTACCATTTTGGTCTAGGTAGATCAAATAGCATTCCCACGTGCCCCTTCTAATTGTGAGTTCAATTTAATTCAAGAAGCATATTGTCATAATGTGTTTCTGGTATAATTTAGTACTCGTTAATTTTCAACCTTCAATTGAGGTTTTTCCCATAGATTTAGGGGAAGAAGAAAAGAAAAAAATGTATGAAAGTACAGAGACTCCAGTTTGTGGTCGGCCTCGACGGCTCCGGTGGACGGTTGGCTGGGGAAAGATTTGGGGTTAAAAGGATTTGAAATTTGAAATTTGGTTTTCAATATGAGACAATTTCTCAAATTGACGGGTGGCTAGATCGGTTGGTCTTATTTTGGGTGAAAATTTTAAAAAAAAAAATTGCTTCAAAAGATTGAAACCGAAAATTGGTTTCATATTTAAGAGATTAAGTATGACCAATTTCAAAACTAAAAAATAAAGTTTAAAACATCAAATCATATATTAATTAATTTTAATTATGAAATAATTAATTAAAAATACATTTTATTAATAAAATATACTAAGTTCACAATTTTATTCAATTTGATCAGAAATTATCAAATTAATCATTCACAAATTATTTCCGAGTCTCAAATTAAAAATTATATTAGTCACAAATAATTACATAATCACAAATTAAAAATTTTATAGGTCATAATTTATTAGTGTTCTAAACAACGTGAAGTGTGGCTAGGTGTGGAGTTAAAGTTTCAAGTTTTACGAGTTTAAACAAGTCTAGACAAGGCTTAAGGGTACAAAAGTGTTTTCTTATTTTTAATAATATTTTGACTTTTTAATTATTTTTTATTATTTAATAATTAAAATAATATATATCAAACATCTAAAATTATAAAATCATATATTTATTTAATAAATCCTACAATTAGTCAATCATACAATTTTTATGTTTTCGAAATGCAAAAATTAGACTGTTTTTTATAGTTTCAATTTTCACTTAGACAAATCCTTTTTAACAAATTTATAGAAACTTTATACATGTTTTCGAAGTTTTCAACAAAATAATGAGTCTAAAAATCATAATTACACAACAAAGATAGTACCATAGCATAAATCATATTTAACTATTTAGATAAAGTCATTTTTAATTTTTTTTACAGATAACATCTTATAAAAACTTGGAATTAAATTCAAAAAAAAAATTGAAGTACAATAAAAGACTAAGAAAAAAGGAAAAACGAATTTGATAAACTGAAGTACAATAAAATATAAATTTCGAATATTAGATAACTTAAGGATTTGATGTCATAACTATATGTAACCAAAACTTTTAGGATTAATACACATTAATGTAAAAATGAGAATGAAAAATATAGTCATTACAGATCCTACACAACTGATAAAAAAATCAAATATGGTGATTTGATGTGATGAATTACGGTCATATTTTTCATTTTAATGAGCAAATAATGGAAAACAAATGAGGCGTAATTTTGAATCGAATATATGAAGGAATCTTTTGGATTGCATTTGATAAGATCTATTAAATATTAAAATTTAAATAAATGTTAAAATTATTAATAAAAAATAAAATTAAAATGATTATTAATTATTTAAAATATTCTTTACTAATTAAATACATATATATTTATAATTAGTTTAATAAATTCTAAAATTAAAAGCAAAATTTGACCTACCAATTTTTATTCTCATTTGATTTTCCCTCCCTTTAAAATTTTCACTTCCCACCAAATTTTCCATTCTCTGTAAAGTATCCAATTCCCAATTATTTTCACAGCCACCACCCACAACCACCCAACCCTGTTGCAAAAGAGTTGAGATCATTTGTCCAATTTTTTGTTTACCAATTTGCCGTATATTTAGTTAATTATTGACACATCATTTTAAATTAATATGTTCAATATTTCTCTAATTACTCCTTACACCTAAAAATAGATGACATTTTAATGTAAAATAATTAGTGGCTAGCAAATTGGACGGTAAAAATTGGAAAACAAATCTAACTCATTGCGAAACCTCTATTTTCGCTATTCTTCATAGCCTCCATTTTGAATTTTTGGAACTCCACGTTATGGTTGGATAAAACTCTCGAACCGAATCGAACCGATTCGGATTCGACTCGAGCAGAACTAAACTTAGCCATTTTTCTTAAATTAAATACTCGAACATGTATCTGAATTGAGAATCGACGAGTTCAATTTGGCTATCAACTCCAGACCAAGAGACAAATAACCAAATAAAAACTGAATCTTCCTAATTTTGTAATTTATTTATATTAAATAAGCCAAATTATTTTATTTTATCTAAATAAATTTACTAACAAATTAATTTAACCCAAACCCTAAATATGATTTTCATATTTCTAATTTCCACCCCAAATCCAATTTAATCGAATTGATGTAAGTTTTACCAAAATCTATTATTTTACCGTAATGTCGTTTCCATAGTTCTGAAGAAATCAAATTGGAAGCACGACTATGCCTCTCTTTATCATTGTAAGCTCGTTACATTCTTCTTCTCGTGATTCTAACAATCAAATCTATGGAACACTCAACAAAGAGAGGTGCAAAAGATATATAAGATTAGACTACGATATTTTATAAGAATTAAGATTAGATATATCATTAGTTAAATTAATATAGCTGTATTTTAGATCTTAAAAAATTTAACTACTATATGGAGCCCAGGACTAAATGGAACCGAACTGAATTGGATCAAATAAAACAGAACCCAAACAGCTGTATAATTAAATTTGGACTCAACGGTTCCACTTATTAAAACCCCGAAGATTCGATCGAATCCAAATTGGACCATGTCCATTGATACTCCATGTATCAACAAATACTAAAATTTATAACAAAAATCTAACCACCCATATGGAATCCATCACTTCCATGTCCTTCTCTTCTTCTATCCCAATTTTCTCCCTAAATGCAAAGATTCTTCTATTCGTCGCCTCATCCACTTCCCCGTCTCTCCTTAGTTCCCCAATTTTGCCGTTTTGATCTCACCCCTACTTTTATTATTTTAGTTGCTAATACTTTTTTAACATTTTCCTTTTCAAATGATGAGAGTGGACCCTATATTTGGAAGTTAATTTACAACGATTTGTATAGTTTTAAAGAACGTTAGGTTATTTTTTTCGTTTGGTAGTTAGAATTTAATTGGTGAATTGTATAAGTTTTGAAGATACAAGGATGATTTCGAGTGGGAATCTATAATTTAATTAGTAATTTGTATGAATTTTAAAGATACAATGGTCATTCTGTATGTGACATCAATAATCTGTGTACTTCATGATTATATCTTGATAAGTGTATTTCACTCATACTTTAGGTGTCATTTAAACTTGATATTTAGCTAATTCTTATGAGTTTTAGAGTGTTTTAATGTGTTTTTTGATGTTGTGGTATAGGTTGATGAGATTGAAGGAAATAAGCAAAAAAGTTGACAAAATTGGATAAGATGGCTAAGTTGTAAGAGATCCAAATTTCGGGGACCAATACTTAAACACTCAAAAGTTTTGTTGAACTTTGTGACGAAGATTTGAGAATTCTATAGGTCAATTGGATACAATTAGGAGTCAAAAGGAATGAAATATAAACAAGAAATGGACATGGCGTTGATTTTTAACCGCTTAAGTACGCTCAAAATTTTCAGTTCAAGATTAAAACTCATTTTTGACCTAGTAAATATTCGAATTGGAAAATAGCTATTTGAAGCAAAGTTATTGCCTTTTGAGTTAGTTTTACAGGAGGAAAATTTATGATAAAAATACTAAACGGAACGCTGTGCTGATTTCCTACCTGAGAGGTGGCACAGAGACGAAGCACCGCAGCACCGCTACATGGCATCGAGGCACCGCCTGGGTGCGTCTAGGGTACATTTTTGGCCCTTTTTGAAGCCATAAAAACCATACTTTCTACACATGAAGGAAGCACTTTCACACTTCGAAATGGGAATTCTACACATTGAGCGGAAGAACACAAATTTGAGAATTAGAGAGCAAATTTAAAATGAGAAAAATAATCATTCAAGGGTTTGAAATCAAGATTTGGAACGAGAAGAAGAACTTGGTGCAAGATTCATCCACTCCTCTACATCTAAATTCAAAACCTGGTGATAGACCTCACTATTGTTATTTGTTTTTCTTCCTCTATTATGAATGGTTAAAATTCTTGTTAGGGCAATAATGTGACCTTATTGGGATCCTTTATGTTTTTAATTAGGATTCTTGGTTTTTTTTTTTCTCTGTGTTGATTTTACTATGAATTTAATGCATTAAATTATTTGATCACCAATTTGATGATTTTGTGAATCCTTTACAAATAGAGATTTGAATTTAAAATTTAGATCATATAGTAAAATTCGGTAAATAGGTATAATGAGTAAAGATACTTATCAGTAAAATTATTTTTTGATTTTAGTGAATAATTCAATTGCAGTGGTACTCAAAGTGTTTCTAGGCTGATATGTTTTTTATGAAATGGTAAAATTAATGTATAGGTAATATGAAGTTTTATGTATTAATCTCAAAGACAATTTTGGTATCTATTTAATTTATCTAAAAAAGTTGATAAAAATTGAAGTTCAGAACATCGATTCATTTTATCAAAATTTATTATAAATCTGTTATTAAGTTAAACCATACATTGACTTAATCACTAATTAGTAAATTAGAAATAATAAAGAATCAAATCATCGAGTCTCAAATTTTGAAAATTATATTTGAGATATCGGTATTTAGAACTCATTAGATGACTTTAGACCCGTCTTAGAGTTCTAAGTATTTTTGTCCTATCATTACTTAAATCCTAAATACACAAAGGAAAAAAAAAAAAAACCAACGTAGAATTGATTAATTAAAAGTGTTCATTTATTATTGTTGTTTGGGTAATTGCTTGAATCCCAAATAATCAGACACGGGCTGTCAAATTCTGCTAATTTCATTTAATTGATTTAAAGTACAGTAAAATAATAATAATAATAAAATAATAATTGGGAAAAAAAACCGAATTACAAATAATTATCACCGAAATGTGAATTATTTAATGACTGATTTATTATTATTATTATTATTATTTTTTAAACCTTGGCAACCTGTGTACGAGTAAAAACAGAACTTTACTCTTCCTTTCCTTCTTTCATTTATGGTATTAAAAACAGAAATTCACTTCCTTCCCTCTTTTCCCTCCGAAATCCTCTCGTTCTTCCTATTCCACGTCAGACAATTATTCCATATGAACATCCAATCAGGAAATCATATTCTATACACGATATGTAACTCTATGTGTGCGTATAAACAGAGATTGTGCATGGAATGTGCAATGACCTAACTCTATCAGAATAGCAATCCTCTTCTAACTCTATCCATCTCTCTCTCTCCATATATAATACTCCTAATCAATACAATATCTCTGCGTTTAATTCTACTATTACTTCCAGAGGCAATTGACAAAGGCAAACACGTTGTCATGGCCGCACAAGAAGGTTCTACTTTTCATGTTATAGAAAATATTCCGCTCGGTTACCGATTCAAGCCGACCGACAAGGAACTGTTACACTACTTGAACCTCAGGATTCTGAAAAAACATATATCGATTGATGCCATAAAAGATGTTGATCTCTACAAGTACCACCGCAGCGATCTTTGCCATAAGTTTCTTTATTTCTCGATGTTTCTTGGTGGTTCTTTTAATACTATCTTCATCGGTTATCATTTATATTTAAGTTCTTTGGAATTTTATTAATGTGATTGTCAGAAAGCGGGACGAATGGAACACATGAGGCTACTTTTTTACTTCTAGAACTAGGAAGTATCATAAAGGTGGTCGGCCGGACCGAACAGCAGCTGATGGCTACTGGAAAGCCACTGGAGGCGACATCATTGTCCGAAGCAATGGCCAAGAAGTTGGCCGGAAAAAGGTGCTCGTCTATTATGAAAGGAAATCTGGTAATAACAATAAAGGAAAAAAGACTAACTGGATAATGCATGAGTTTACGATTCATCAAATGAAGGACGTTGCATGTTCTTCTACAAATGCAATTCCAGATGACAAGACGGTATGTTCAAGTTTTCATCTTCTTTGGTTAATTAATTGCGTTCATTTATTATTGTTGTTTGGATAATTGCAAGAAATCCCATATAGGGTTCTTTAATTGATAATTGATGGTGCGTAAAACCCTTAAGTTTCTTTTTTATTTTTTCCTTTTTTTTTATTACTTTTCATTAATCGATTGGTTCATATATATTACTGTTGTTAGGAATGAATTGAAATTTTAACCAATAGTTCTAGATGGTATTTAAAAAAAAAAAAAGAAAGAAAGAAAGAAAATCCTAAACCCATCAAGCAATTCATAAATTCTGATATTTTTGTAGCACGAATTTGTTTCATATTTTTGCAGTTGGACAAGTGTATATGTAGAATTTACTATAGAACATCAAAATCAAGCAAAAACGTAGAGCAAGACACACGAAGAAATATGATCCCAATTCAAGAAACTCATGCCCCTCGTGCAAATTTGGCAGCAACATTATCGTATCATTATCATAATCATGTACCGGCATGTAATCAGTTGTCCTTGCATGGTGCTTATCTTCCAGACCAACAAGGAAGCATTTATGATCAATATCAGTTGGTTCATGAACCAGTTACGTACATGCATGGCGAAGTTGCAATTCAGAGTAATATTCTTCCATCTCCTCAACCTCTTGCGAACATTCCTGGTGATCAATGCAATGTCACTCAACCTGAGACCGGTATGCAAAGCAATGATCAGTATCGGCATGGTGATTATGGTGATGACTTGGATTTCACGACTCCATATTTCTCGCCTCTATTTGGTTTTTTGTCGCCATTGGATGATAATATAATATATTCTCTTTTCGCCGATTCATCCAATGCCCAATTAGAGTCTTCGCCAATTCCACCTGGTCAATCAATTACACAAACACATGGCGTTGTGGGTGGCTCGGGTACAAGTAATTTTGCAGCTTCCACTGAGGACTTTTATTTACCTTCTCCTCCAATAGAATGGTGTGAGTAAATTTGGTTGCGCAGGTGCCAGATCTACATTTGAGGACAAAATGTTAAAATCTTCGATCAAGAGAAGAATGCCATTTTTTGCAATTTTTCTAAGAATTTAAACTGTTGATTCTGTAATGTTGCAGAAGTATTAAATATCCACATCAAATTGTTCAATTGGTGAATGGCGTATTTTATTTTAGCACCAGTTTATCGATTAATTTTTGTTGTTTTTTGAGATAGAAAATTGTTCCTTGCATGCAAACATTAGAGTGAATAATTTATATATGTGTGTATATATATATATATATATATATATATATAAATTCAGTTTATTAGGCGCTGCGACGCCCAACTCGAATAGAAAATAGAAACTATGGCGCCTCCGGCGCCTGAGCACCACCCAGGAAGTTCTTAATTGTTTTCAAAATCTCAGGGACCAATGCTGAAATTTTCTTTAGGTTTTAATTTAAAACATTCAACCAAACACAAGACTTCTCATTTTTGGAACTTTTGGGGAGCAATCGGTTCTTCTTCTTCTTGTCTCTTGTTTTCTTTCTTTTTCCTTTTCCTTTCACCTATATTTTCCTAGACATTTTGGGGAAGATTAGAACATGGAGATGGTGCATTAGCTTGGAGAAGATGACCCATTGATATTGAAGGACGTTCTACCATTTCTCTCTTTATCAATAAGTTTTTCTTTTCACCTTTTCCATCAATATTTTGTAAGAAATTGTTAGTTATTTATGAATATTTCATAGGTAACTAATTATATTTTGTGATTGGGGATTATTTCAAATCCGAATTATGATTTTCAATTAATTTATGCTTTATAATTCTCTTGATTAATGTATTTAATCCATTGTGTTAAATGTTTATTTTGCTCTTCTTGATTATTTAGGTGCACAACTAAATGATTAAGTTGTTTCGATGAATGCTATTTTGGAATTAGTAGTACGTAATAGCTATTGATTCTAAAACCTAGTAGCAATTACATTTCGATAGATTATGAAGAATTTTCAATTGAATGTATGTGGATTAACACTTAAGTTAGTAAATCAAGCTTGCGAGTTTACCCTTAATTCAATTCATCTCTTTTGTCGTAATACGTTTGTTAAATTACATTTAGAGAACTTATTCTATATTGTTTAATGAATAGGGTTGAGTAAAGAGCTTGTTTTATTCAACTAACGTGTAAGAAGAGATTGAAATAATTGAGCTTGTAATTATTCTCGAATTGTTGTTAATCTTGAGAACGAAAATCTATTGTGATAATTGACATGAAAATCATTCTCGTGGTGACGAAATATCCCCCAATCACATTCAATCAAGAACCACTTTGTTTATTTCAAATTTCAAGTCTTTTCTAGTTTAAATTTATCGCTTTCCTTA